CGGCGGCATTCGAGAAGGATTGCAAGGGTGGGCCTCGGCACCGCAATCTTCTGCTGTATTCGAAGGCGAGACGTGGCACCTCACGACTGGGCTTCTGCATCGGCTGCGAACGTGGGAGTTACAGCAGTTGCGGAAGATGTTTCAACTCCAGCCCGCGCCGACTGAAGGCCCAGTGACGTGCAGCATGCGCATTGCTTGTCAGATCGACAGGTGGTTCCGTTCCACTGGTGTTTAGCCGATGCATTGTCAAAATCTTCGGATGGTATTCTTACACGCCTGGCGGGAACTAGGCTGTAAGTTCCCAGAAGGAGCAAGTCGCTGAGGTGGGCGAGAGAATTCCGATGTGCGCTTGATTGGCAGTTTGCGCAGTGTTTCGGCGAGAAGGCTCGTCGTCAGGCGCAGTACGTTCACTCCACTTCTGGCCACTGCACTGCTTGGGAAGATGTTCTGGTTGCCGCCTGCGGCTCTGATTGTTGAGATGGTGCCCCTCCAATTTGTTGACGCCACGGCGCACGGCCACGAAAATCACGGAAATCTGCCCGCGATGGTTGCACATGAAGCAGACCAGCAAAGGAGCCATGACAGCCTTTGCTTGAGCATTGTCGTTGACTGCGAAATATAGGCAAACCAACCGAATTGTGCGACTGCTTCGATGGCTGAAGAGCACCAACTTGTCTTCTGGCGCATGGCCTGGGCATTGGCAGCTTCATTCAGTGTCGCGAATGGCGTCCGAGGGCCCCGCGGGCAGATATGGGCGACTGGTGCTCTCGCAAGTACAATGTGCAAGCAGAGCATTTAGCAAATTTTGCGATGAACGCCGCATACCGGTGGGAGAACGTCAACATAAACAGTTTGCGAGATGCACTGCGGAGCGGGTGCAGCATCCCGTTATGCAGCGACGGCGGTCTTCGGTACCGAGATGGCTTTGGTGGATGCCCTTGGGTCTTACAGTGTGTGCAACGGCGCGATGAAGCATGGGAGTGTTCTATGTTGGGACATGCAAGTTTCCAGGTGGACGGCGCAACATCAGCATTGTCAGCGCAGGTTTTAGCTTTAGATTCAGCGTTGGCAACCTTCCCGCTCGCACTTTGATGGTTTTCTCGGCAGGTGTGCAAGTGTGTATAATCGGACGGGCGTGCCGCCATGGCGCCAAGCCTCGCGAAAAAAGAAGGGGGCTGGTCACGTCACGATTCGCGCTGGCGCGGTTTTGGGATTCTCAGGGATAGCTCGTTCCCAGACACTGCTGGCGCGAATCGTGGCGCGACCACGGGTCTGGGGAGAAGCGCACTTGGGTTGCAAATGACGCCATAATGGGAACTTGATGGGCGTGAAGGTACGTGGGGCCCTCCTCGAAGGACGTCTTCGTTGGCTAAGGGCCCCTACAGGAGTCATCGGCCCCCCCCGGTGGCGTTTTTCCCCAATCGGAGCTTGCTTCTGTAGGGCTCCCAGCGGATTCATCTGGTGAGGTGAGGATTGGCGCCGATTTCGGCGGCGCGCCCGGTTGCCCGGGTGCCCGGGTGCCTGGGTGCCCGGGTGCCCCCGGGGTGCCCATTTGCCTGGGTGCCCGGGTGCCCGGGTGCCTGGGTGCCCGGGTGCCCGGGTGCCCGGGTGCCCGGGTGCCCATTTGCCCGGGTGCACGGGTGCCCGGGTGCCTGGTTGCCTGGGTGTATGGGTGCCCAGGTGCCTGGGTGCCCGGGTGCACGGTAGCCGTATAGCCCTACAGCTCTTTATCGTTGTAGCCTTCTAGCCCTCATAGCCTTATAGCCTTGAAGCCCTAATAGCCCTATAGCCCTATAGCCCAATAGCCAGGTAGTCTTTCTAGCCCTATAGCCTTTTATAACCCCATAGCCTTCTAGCCCTATAGCCCTAAAAGCCTTATATCACTATAGCCTTATAGCCCTAAATCCCTATAGCCCTATAGGCCTACAGCCCTATAGCCCTATAGCCCTATAGCCCTGTAGCCCTATAGCCCTATAGCCTCATAACCTTATAGCCCTATAGCCCTATTTCCCTATAGCCCTATAGGTCTATAGCCCCATCGCCCTCTAGCCCTGTAGCCCTATAGACCTTTAGCCGTATGGTCCTATAGCCCTTAAAGCCCTATATAGCCCTATACCCTGAAAGCTTTACAGCCCATAACCTTCACAGCCCTATAGCCCTATAGCCCTATAGCCCTATAGCCCTATAGCCCTATAGCCCTATAGTCCTATGGTCCTATAGCCCTGTAGTCCAATAGCCCTCTAGCCCTAAAAAGATTCTGATTGGGTTTTGTCTCCGGTATCATCACGATTTTATAATCATGGGGACGGGAGCCCGCGCAGCCCCTCTGATGGGCGGTGCGTGTTGGGCGTTGTCGCGTACAACGATGACATGGGCTCCTGGGGGAGGGCCGCGCGGCGGCTGGCTGGCAGTACCCCCTCACGACGGACGGGGGCGCCACGAACACGGGCTACGAAGCGGAGCACATGCGGTGGGCCGCCCGCGCGCGGGCGGCAGGGAGGCGGGAGTAGCCAGCGCAGGGCCAAGCGAGAGTGGCAGCAGCTGGGAGGTTGGGCAATGGGAGCCACTGGAGCGGCGCAGGAACATTGCTTCGTCTGTGCCAACATTTGCGCGGAAGCTGCCCGCGGCGTAAAGTAGCGCCTTGGCGCCTGCCTTACCAATGTAGCGTGCCGCGCCAACGGCCCGCGTAAACCACTGGGTAATGTCGTTATGCCATCTCGCGTAAGACCCGCCTCATGTCGTCGCTCACTCTGGAAAGGGAATAATTGCCTTGTATCTTGGAGTCGTCTGGGGATCTGAGGTTGCCCAGCACTGATGCTGGCGAACAGGAGTGGGGGGCGAGGTTCAAGGTTTTATTTGGGATTTTGTTTTGGTATTCTTCGGCCTCATCGGGCCGTATTCGGGCCCCAGAACCGTCGAAAACGGATCTGGGATGAAAAACCGCACCAGATGGACCCACGGAGGGGTACGGGGACCCTGTTTGACATGATTTCCCATCGTTGTCTTTTTTTGTTTAAAGAGGTTTTCTCCGGGACCATCCAGTTACCCCCTGGCCGCCTCCGACTGCCTTGCATCGTTTTGGCGCGTAATCAGACATGCGAAAGACCAGGATCATGCAGTTCAGCGTGGTGTCAAGCGATATTTTTTCCGAAGAAGGATCTCCCCTTCCCCAATCGGGCAACTGTTGTACGCTCTTACGCTTATGGCCAGGAACTGTGAGGAAGTCTCGACCGACAGTCTCTTTTTTAAAAGGAGTCGCCCTCGATCCGTACAGTGCTACATGTGTTGACGCTCTGGTCTTTCAAATGCAGCAAATCCCGAGCTGGTCTTTCAAATGCAACAAATTCCGAGCGAGAGTTCCCATTTGAAAAGGAAGCGACCTCCACCTCCCTACTGTTGCAAGCTTTCAAGACGTAGGTGCGCGACGCCGAGGTGAGAGTCACACTTTGAGAAAAACCGCCCTTCATTTTTGTATCTGTGACCCGTTTGCGACGAGAGTGTGCGCGGCGCTACGGCGGTAACCCGTTTTGACAGGGAGCCGCTGTCCATCCTTGAAACCGTTGCAAACTTGTAGGGTTGAGTCGGGCACGTCCCCCCACAGGAGGAACATTCAAAACAAATAAAAATATAGCCTGGGGACGACTTTTGGATTCTTTTTCTTATCATTATTGTTCCCCACATGTTTCGTGGGGTTCTGGTTTTCTTCCCTGCCGCGGCGCACCCGCGTCTCCTCACCTCCCCTCCTCCTCTTTCTTCATTGCCGCGCCGCACCCGCGACACTCACACCTCACCTCTTCCCTTCTCACACAGCGCAGCACAGCACAGCACAGCACAGCACAGCACAGCACAGCACAGCACAGCACAGCACAGCACAGCACAGCACAGCACAGCACACACAGCACAGCACAGCACAGCACAGCACAGCACAGCACAGCACAGCACAGAGCGGTAGGGAGTGCGTAGGGGCTGGTCCTCACGGCGGCCGTTATCCGTGACGGTCGCCAGGGAACACCAGGCATGGCATATTCCGACACCAGTAGGGGGTGCGCAGGGGGGGTCTCTCAACCGCGGCCTATCGGAGGAACGGCATATTCTTGAACACCATAGGGGGTCGTGCGCATGGGAGATGTCTCTCACACGGCCGCCTATCCGTGTCCCCCCCCCCGGTCGCCCGGCCCACAGCAGCATGGCATATTCCGACACGTAGGGGGTGGCAATGGGTGGTCTCTCACCGCGGCCGCTATCCGGGACAGTCGTCCAGGGCACAGCAGGATCGGATATTCTCGACACCATAAGGGGGTGCGCAAGGGGTGGTCTCTCACCGCGGCCGCTACTCGTGACGGTCGTCCAGGGCACAGCAGGCATGGCATATTCTCGACACGCAGGGGGTGGTCTCTCACTCCGGCCGCTATCCGTGACGGTCGTCCAGGGCACAACAAGCATGGCATATTCTCGACACCAAAGGGGGTGCGCAGGGGGTGGTCTCTCACCGCGGCCGCTATCCGTGACGGTCGTCCAGGGCACAGCAGGCATGGCATATTCTCGACACCATAGGGGGTGCGCAGAGGGTGGTCTCTCACCGCGGCCGCTATCCGTGACAGTCGTCCAGGGCACAGCAGGCATGGCATATTCTCGACACCATAAGGGGGTGCGCAGGCGGGGATCTCTCACCGCGGCCGCTACTCGTGACGGTCGTCCAGGGCACAGCAGGCATGGCATAGTCTCGACACCATAAGGGGGTGCGCAGGGGGTGGTCTCTCACCGCGGCCGCTATCCGTGACGGTCGTCCAGGGCACAGCAGGCATGGCATATTCTCGACAGCGCAGGGGGTGCGCAAGGGGTGGTCTCTTACCGCGGCCGCTATCCGTGACGGTCGCCCAGGGCACAGCAGGCATGGCATATTCTCGACACCATAGGGGGTGCGCAGGGGGTGGTCTCTTACCGCGGCCGCTATCCGTGACGGTCGTGCAGGACACAGCAGGCATGGCATAGTTAGTCATCCTTCAGGAACTGGGGGGGTGCGCAGAGGGATGGTCTCTCACCGCGGCCGCTACCGTGACGTCGTCCAATGGGGCACAGCAGGCAAGGCATATTCTCGACAACATAAAGGGGGTGCGCAGGGGGTGGTCTCTCACCGCGGCCGCTATCCGTGACGGTTGCCCAGGGCACAGCAGGCATGACAGATTCTCGACACCATAGGGGGTGCGCAGGGGGTGGTCTCTCACCGCGGCCGCTATCCGTGACGGTCGTCCAGGGCACAGCAGGCATGGCATATTCTCGACACCATAGGGGTGCGCAAGGGGTGGTCTCTCACCGCGGCCGCTATCCGTGACGGTCGTCCAGGGCACAGCAGGCATGGCATATTCTCGACACCATAAGGGGGTGCGCAGGGGGTGGTCTTTCACCGCGGCCGCTATCCGTGACGGTCGTCCAGGGCACAGCGGTATCGGCGGGGCAACGGCCACCAACATCATTCTCACATGCTTCACTTCAGCTCTCATCACTCCAGCCGTAATATAAGTATGTGGGGTTCCTTGGTAGCGTATTTTTTTTCCCCCAGCCCTCCTTGGTCGGGTATTCGTTTTGAATAGAGCACTGCGGTCTCCAGTCCTCCTCCTCCTCCTCCTCCTCCTCCTCCTCCTCCTCCTCTTCCTCCCACCTCCCGTCTCCCGCTTCCGTCTTGTCTTCTCTTGTCTTGTGCGTACCTCGCGCGGCGCGCGCGCGCGGCGCGTGGTGTGGAGGTGTTTGTGTCGTGTTGTGTGTGTTGGTGTTGTGTGTGTGTGTGTTGTGTGTGTGTGTGTCGTGTGCGTGCGTGCGTGCTAGTGCGTGCGTGCGTGCGATGCGTGTGGTGTGTGTGTGTGTGTGTTGTGTGTGTGTGTTGTGTGTGTGTGTGAGTGTGTGCGTGCGTGCGTTGCGTGCCGTGCGTGCGTGCTGTGCGTGCGCTGCGCGCGCGCGCGTGCGCGCGTGTGTGTGTTGTGTGTGATTATTGTGTGTGTGTGTGTGTGTGTGTGTGTTTGTGTGTGTGTGTGTGTGTGCGTTTGTTCGTGCGTGCGCGAGTGCGATTGCGTGCGTGCGTGCGTGCGTGCGTGCGTGCGTGCGTGCGTGCGTGCGTGCGTGCGTGCGTGCGTGCGTGCGTGCGTGCGTGCGTGTGGTGCGTGTGTGTGTGTGTGTGTGTGTGTGTGTGTGTGTGTGTGTGTGTGTGTGTGTGTGTGTGTGTGTGTGTGTGTGTGTGTGTGTGCGCGCCGTCCCTGGGGGGCTGTGGGCTGCGACGCTGTCGCCACTTTCGAGGGCTGCTGGTGGGTCCTGCGGACTGAGGCACCGCGGGGATCTGAGCGGGACATCCCCGTCCCTGGGGGGCTGCGGTCTGCGACATTGTCGCCACTTTCGATGGTTGCTGGTGGGTCCTGCGGACTGAGGCGCCGCGGGGATCTGAGCGGGACCTCCCCGTCCCTGGGGGGCTGCGATCTGCGACACTGTCGCCACTTTCGATGGCTGCTGGCGGGTCCTGCGGACTGAGGCACCGCTGGGATCTGAGCGGGACCTCCCCGTCCCTGGGGGGCCGCGATCTGCGGCTGCGATCTGCGACACTGTTGCCACTTTCGAGGGCTGCTGGTGGGTCCAGCGGAGTGAGGCACCGCGCGGATCTGAACGGGACCTCGCCGTCCGTGGGGGGCTGCGACCTGCGAATCTGTCGCCACTTTCGAGGGCCGCTGGTGGGTCCAGCGGGGTGAGGCACCGCGGGGATCTGAGCGGGACCTCCCCGTCCCTGGGGGGCTGCGATCTGCGACATTGTCGCCACTTTCGAGGGCTGCTTGTGGATCCTGCGGACTGAGGCACCGCGGTGATCTGAGCGGGACCTCGCCGTCCCTGGGGGCCTGCGATCTGCGACACTGTCGCCACTTTCGAGAGCTGCTGGTGGGTCCTGCGGACTGAGGCACCGCGGAGATCTGAGCGGGACTCGCCGTCCTGGGGTGGCTGCGATTGCGACCACTTCGCCGCTTTCGGCGGGCTGTGGGGGTCCTGCGGATGGGGCACCGCGGGGATCTGAGCGGGACCTCCCCGTCCCTGGGGGGCTGCGATCTGCGTCACTGTCGCCACTTTCGAGGGCTGCTGGTGGGTCCTGCGGACTGAGGCACCGCGGGGATCTGAGCGGGACCTCCCCGTCCCTGGGGGCCTGCGATCTGCGACACTGTCGCCACTTTCGAGGGCCGCTGGTGGGTCCTGCGGACTGAGGCACCGCGGGGATCTGAGCGGGACCTCCCCGTCCCTGGGGGTTTGCGATCTGCGACGCTGTCGCCACTTTCGAGGGCTGCTGGCGGGTCCTGCGGACTGAGGCACCGCGGGGATCTGAGCGGGACTTCGCCGTCCCTGGGGGGCTGCGATCTGCGACACTGTCGCCACTTTCGAGGGCTGCTGGTGGTCTCTGCGGACTGGGGCACCGGGATCTGAGCGGGACCTCCCCGTCCCTGGGGTGCTGCGATCTGCGACACTGTCGCCACT